AGCCAGAACGATCCTCAGCAAAAAAAACAAAGCAGGAGGTATCACATTACCAGACTTCAAACTTTACTATAAAGCTACAATCATCAAAACAGCTTGGTATTGTACAGGAACAGGCATATAGACCAACGGAATCGAATTGAGATTCGAGAAGCAAAACCTCAATTTCTCAACCAACTCATCTTCGACAAAGCCTCCACCACCTACCACTGGGGAGAGGAGAACCTATTCAGTAAATGGTGCTGGGAAAACTGGCTGACCGCATATAGAAGACTCAAACAAGACCCCCATCTATCCCCATACACAAAAGTTAACTCCAAATGAATCAGAGACCTAAATGTAAAACCTCAAACCACAAGAATTTTAGAAAATGCAGGACATACCCTCATGGAAATTGGAGCTGGCATCCAATTCCTGAACAAAACCCAAAACCCATAGGCCATAAGAGAGAAGATAGACAAGTGGGACCTCATTAAACTGACAAACTTCTGCAAAGCCAAAGAAACCATCAAGAGAGCAGGAAGACAGCCCACAGACTGGGAAAAAGTATTTGCCAACTCCAGGTCCGACAAAGGCTTAACATCCTGGATCTACAAGGAACTCAAACGTGCTGAAAGGAAAAAAACAAACAACCCCATTATAAAGTGGGCAAAAGATATGAACAGACACTTCTCAAAAGAAGACATCCGAGCAGCCAACAGACACATGAAGAAATGTTCAACCTCACTAATCATCAAGGAGATGCAAATCAAAACCACACTGAGATACCACCTAACTCCAGTCAGAATGGCCATTATTAATAACTCAAAAAAACAAAAAACAAAACAGTTGCTGGAGAGGGTGTGGGGAAAAGGGAACACTTCTACACTGTTGGTGGGAATGCAAACTAGTGCAACCTCTGTGGAAAGCAGTGTGGTGATTCCTAAAAACTCTAAATATCGACCTCCCATATGACCCTGCAATCCGCCTACTGGGAATATAACCTGAAGAACTCAAATCACTCTATCAAAAAGATACCTGCACATGTATGTTTATCGCAGCATTGTTCACAATAGCAAGAACCTGGAACCAAACATGCTGTCCATCAAAAGAGGACTGGATCAAAAAAATGTGGTACATATACACAATGGAATACTACACAGTCATAAAAAAGTACAAAATCATGAATTTTGCAGCAACCTGGATGGAACTAGAGTCTATAATACTGAGTGATCTCTCACAGAAACAAAGATCTGAGTATCACATGTTCTCACTCATATAGTGGACCTTGAACATCTACCATAATACTATAAAAAAAAGGACTGACAGTGGTGGGAAACTACGGGGATGGTAGTGTGGGGAGGGGAGGTACGACTAACGGTAGTCAATATCTGTCTGGGGATGGGGAGACACCCCTTATCAACAAGGGTGCCTGAACGATGCACATTTGTATACCTAACCCTTAACTGTACCCTACAATTTTATAATAAAAAATATGTTTAAAAAAAAGAATTGGATTCTGGTGTGCTAAATCCTCCCACAAAATGGCTTTCCTGGTTTGTTTTGGAAGGAGACACTGCTGGCTTTGCTTATCTCAGACTGGTTGGAGTTAGCGTGCACTTAGCTTCTTGGTCCCTTTCTTGTCAGGAGAAAGGTGGAGTTCTAAGGTTCTTACTAACATAATGTTACTTTGTGGTTAAGCACGCAAACTCTGAGTCAGGCTGCCTGTGTTGACATTCTAGTACCTACTGTCATTAGCTGTGTGACCCTGGGCAAACGACTCGGCCACTCTCTGCCTCAGTGTCCTTATCCATAAAATGAGGATGATAACAGTAGCTACCTCACAGTATTGTTAAGAGGATTAACTGATGTTTAAAATAGAACCTAGCACATAGTAAATGTTGATTATCAATTATTATTGATGTTTCCTGGAGGTTATGTTTAAAAGTCCTCAATATAGCCCGATTCTAGCACAAAGAATTTTTTCCCTGAGTTATGACGAATTGGTGGTCATCTCAAATACTGAGTAAATCTTGGTTAAGTAGTCTAAATTTTTTTAAAATTTAAAGACTTTTTTTTTTACATTAGGATTCACTCTTGGTGTTGTACACTCTATGGGTTTGGACAAACATCTAATGATGTGTATTCATTCTTATGGTATTATAAAGAGTATTTTCATAGCCCCAACAATTCTGTGTTCAGCCTGTTCACCTCCCCTCCCCACAATTCCTGGCTATCACTGATCTTTTTATGGTCTGCATAGTTTTGCCTTTTCCAAAATGTCATATAATTGGAATCACACAGTATATAGCTTTTTCAGGTTGGCATATTTCACCTAGTAATATACATTTAAGTTTCTTCTATGTCTTTTCATGGATTGATAGCTTATGTCTTTTTCAAGCTGAATAATATTCCCTTGTCCTGATGCACCATAGTTTATTGAAACTTTTACCTACTGAAGCATATCTTGGTTGCTTCCAAGTTTTGGCAATTTTGAATAAAGTTTCTATAAATATTTGTGTACAGGTTATTGTGTGGACATAAGTTTTTAACTCCTTTGGGTAAAGGATCCAGTGATTGCTGGATTAGATGGTAAGAGTATGTTTAGTTTTTGTAAGAAGTCACAAAACTGTCTTCTAAAGAGGCCATAAGCTAAGTACTTTGGATTCATGTAGTAGATGCTTTCTTCTCGTGATGTTGATATAAGGGTATAGGATATGAGGACCAGTTTATAAAAAAGTTATGTGTGAAGGTCAGTATTGCCTTAGGTTCACCTGGGTATTATGAAATGCATGGGGGAAAGATAGCAGGGAGGATGGGTTGACAGTGATTGCAATCAACTGTACTGAACCAGCTCTGCAGTGATCGGTAATATGGTACCAGTTCCAGAGAAAACCAGGCTGTTTCTGTCATGAGATTGGTGTGAGGAAGCCAAGTATTCTCACCCTCAAGTAAGTCTGTGGAGGGTTTTCTACTGAGTTTACACCCACGCCCATCTCCATGTAGCCTGAACCACAGGTTAGAGAAACAGGTTCATCGACGGTAAGTGCTAAATATTATTGCCCTAAAAGTTATGTTTGACTCGAGAGACACATTGCTCTGCAATCTTGGATGACAAAACTAAGAGGAGTGTTTGTGAACTCCTACTCTCATGGCAGAGTAATCAAGATTATGAATTAGGCGCCCAGCAGAATTTTTCACTTAACTCTAGTACCCATCTTTCTCTTTCCCCTTCTATCTTCAAATATCTCCATTTATAGCTTTCCCATTATTTTTAGGATGCTGCTGAATCTTCCATTTCTTGTTGTCACTTCTCTGAGCATGTTGACCTCAGGGACTGGATTTTATTAACTGTTTTATCCCAATTACCTGGTATTTAGTGCATGTTCAGAAAGCATTTGTTGAAGGAGGGAAGGGAGACAAAATTTTACAGAGATGTGAAAAAGACTTCACCCAGTTTACATATTAAACTTACTTCTAACTTGTGACTGAATTAAGCAGAGGGAATTAGAGACAAAATTCAGCCCCCATTGAGAGTAGATTTAAAACGCAAAGATTGATCAGAAACCAGGGAAGATGACTTGCAAGAGGAAGAACTTTTATTGAAACATCACCATAGAGAAAGCCAAAGAAATGTTACTATTCTAAAAATAGCTTGTCTTAATTAATTGCAAGAAAACCGAAAAATAAGAAGGCCCTTATTAAGGAACCTAGTTTTGATTTGGTATTTTAGTTTAGGGCCCATTTTTTCTTGGGGACTGGAGTTTAGGAAGGTGCCCTCTGTTCACTCTTGTTATTGACTTTGGTGGGTTTCTCTTCCATGGTGTGAACTCTGGAAGAGAGAACTTTACCACGAGGATCGATTTCTTCAACAACTGTTTTAACAATGGTGGTTTTAGATGAATCTGAAATGACACATGTGAACTGTTAGAATGTCTCCAACTCATAAATGGGAAATAAGTCATTATTTGAAACATATACAAATAAATACTGGAAGCTTAACACAGCTTTTGCTTACCTTTTGTCTGATTCCCAAGGCCTCCAAAGCCTTTTGATTTAGAACAGGAGCTGTAAATATATAGGCAGTTTGTATTAATTATTCCACTCTGTTTTGCTGAGGAAGCTGAAAAACAATACTCAAAGTGGGAGTCCATTGAATTCTGAAATCATATCGGAAGGGTTTTATCTACACGTGATCTGGATCATAGCTACCTTGTGCTTGATTCCAGATGATTTTGAATAACCTTTAGAATAAGTTGTATCCTCAGTGGAAGTGGTACTTACCCATCCTCGCCATCGATCAGGTGGCAGTAGGTCTCGATCTCCTTTTCCAGGTAGGACTTGATGTCCAGGAGCTGTTCATGCTCGAGCTTCTGGCCCTCGGTATCGGTCCTGACCTGGTGCAGCTGCTCCTCCAGGGCCCCGATCTGAGCCTGGATCTGCGCCAGCTGGGTACAGTAGTTGCCCTCGGTCTCCGTCAGGGAGCACTCCAGGGAGTGTTTCTGTGGTTTGGTAAGACAGAGTTGGATAGAAAATGTCACAGCTATATTTTCAGACAAAAACCAAAGCACTTAAGAGATAAGAGAGTTATCCTTGCCTAATGCAAATAATCATATCTATTTGTTTAAAAGACTGTATTTGTTCAATATGAATTGTTGCCTTTATTAGACCTCATACTATTTTTCTGTTTGAGAATGACACAGTTGTGGTGAATGACCTTCACATGCCCAGGAGTTTTAGAAAAGGTGAAATTGTTTCTTCATACACCACAGTGTAAAGATCCCTGCCCTGCACCAATACAGTTTGTGCTTGTCGAGTCTAGCACAATTTGCCACTTTTTCCACAAATAAAAATCCCTCAACACGTTGCTACCTCATTTCTAATCACATGGCAGCTTTGTCTCATGAGGATTACGGCTATTCTATCAAAAAGTAATCCTGTATTGAATTGCACAGAATTTCTACAAGTAGAATAAACCAAACAATTACCTTTTTAGGCATTATTATTTTTTGTGTTTTAGATTAGAAAATGTAGTTTATTTAGAAAGTAAATTGGAGAGAGACAGAAAGAGAGGATTCACCTCCCCAAGAGAGGGGAGGGCATTTTTAGACTTTAAATACAGCAGTTTGATTCATTGCCTTGTGAATCCAAATGGGTTTATACAGACTTGCAGAGGGAACACTTAATGTAACTTCACACGAAGATGAGAGTGTCTTACTCTTTCATCTGCAAGTATTTTTCTATAAAATACTGACTTTATACACACATTCATAGTCCCATTTTTGGATAACTCTGGGGTTTTACTAGCTATCATAGGAAAAGTAAAGACTTGGAAGTTAGAAAATTTGGAGAGACTAGCCTGGGCAACTTGGCAAGACCTCAACTCTACAATAAACCAAAAAATGAACCAGGCATGGTGGCATGTACCTGTAGTCCCAGCTACCTGGAAGGCTGAGGATTGCCTGAGCCCAGCAGGTTGAGGCTGCGGTGGCTGTGAGTGAGCCACTGTACTCTAGCCTGGGTGACAGAGTGAGACTCTGACTAGAAAATAAAAATTAAAAAAAAGAGATAAATTTGGAGAGAAATTGTGGTTCCTCTGCACCCAGCTGTGGAATTCTGAGAATTGCTTAACTTCTTTGAATCTCAGATTCCTCTTATGGAAATAATGACAAGAGTTATAAAGTCAGCCTTGCCCATGCCTGGGGGTTATTGTGCACTCATATGTGGGTGGAAGTGCTGGGAGAATCCTTGATAAAAGGGGTTATTATTATCATTACACACGTTTAGTTTTCTAGCCAACCTTCATGCCTGTACTTTGTTTCTTGTTTATGCCACTTGAAAAGGAACTTGTAAGTGTGCTTAGTCAAGTGACCAAAGGAATGCTAGTTGTAGCTAGGAGGGGTGCAAGCATATTTTTGTTCTCTGTAAGCAGTGCTTTTTTTTCTTTTTTAAAAAAGTTGGCACAATAATTGTACATATTTATGGGGCACATAGTGATATCTTGCTACAATATATAGTGATTGGATTAGGATAATTAGCATACCCATCACCTCAAACATCCACCATTTCTTTGCATTGAGAACATTAAAAGTCCTCTTTTCAGCTGGGCATGGAGGCTCACTCCTGAAATCCCAGCCCTTTGGGAGGCCGAGGTGAGAGGATTACTTAGCCTAAGAGTTCAGAACCAACCTAGGCAACATAGTGAGACCTCGTCTCTAGAAAAAATAAAAAAAATTAGTCAGGAATGGTGGCACACGCCTGTTGTCTCAGCTACTCAGGATGCTGAGGCGGAAGGAGTACCTGAGTCTAGGATTTTGAGGCTACGGTAAGCCGAGATCGTGCCACTGTACTTCGGCCTGGGTAACAGAGATTATTCGAAGGAGTTGAACAATTCTCAGGGTTCCACGGTTGGGTGCAAAGGAACCACAATTTCTCTCCAAATTTTCTAACCTCCAATTCTATTTGTTTCTCACGATGGCTGGTAAAGCCCCAGAATTTTATCCACACATGAGGCTATGAATGTGTATAAAATCAGGATTGTATATAAAAATACTTGTGGGTGAAAGGTAAGACACTCTTATCTTCATGTGAAGTTACAGAAAGTGTTCCGTCTGTGACTCTATAAACCCATTTGGATTCACAAGGCAATGAATCAAACTGCTGTGTTTAAAGCCTTAAAAGGTAGTTCTTTGGTTTATTCTACTCAAAAACAAACAAACCTCTCTTCTAACTATTTGAAGATATGTAATAAATTATCGTTAACTACAGTGACCCCACAGTGCTATAGATCACTAGCCTGGATTCCTGCCATCTAGCTGTCATTGTGTACCCCTTAGTCAACTCCTCCCTACTTCCCTCCCCACTCCTTCCTATCTCGCAGAAACCACTGTTCTACTCTCTACTTTTGTGTGATCAACTTTCTTTAGCTTCCACGTATGAATGAGAACATAAACAGTGGTTTTTGATCTTTTGACTTGGCAGAGAAGTTTCAGGGTAAAAACCCTTTTCTTTTTTGAGTATCTCAAAGTAATTGCACTGGCTAATTTCTAAGGTTTCCTAATGATTAGCATTGGAGTATAATTTTCAGGCAAAGAGGATTCTCAGGTGCGGAACACAAATGTTTTAGGTCACATTTTTCTCGTTCTTTCATTAGTTGCATGATTTCAAAGAAAATGTGCAAAATGCCAATGTGTCTTTATGTCAGACATAGCAATGAATGGATACACCCTAACATAAGTAATATGTTCTGGAAGAAAATTTTTTTTAACTTTGTTCTCAATTTGTAAAGCCAATCTGTTGTGTCCTTTTTGCTTACCATGGCTAGGAGGGACTGCAGTTCAATCTCCAGGGTTTGAAGAGTGCGTTTCATCTCGGTGAGTTCATTCCGGGCGGAGGTGGTGGCCCCAGCGTCATCTGAGATCTGCTGCTGCAGCGAGGCGCTCTGAAAGGTCAGGGCTCCGGTTAGGGTGTTGTTTGCTGCACCTGCTCCCGGTGCCAGGTAAGCGGGGCCCGGGGTGGCTGTACCTTCTCGTTGAACCAGGCCTCGGCATCTCTGCGGTTCTTCTCAGCCAGGGCCTCATACTCAGCTCGCATGTTGTTCAGCAGGACTGTGAGGTCCACCCCAGGGGCCGCATTCATCTCCACGTTGACGTTGCCTCCAGCCGCGCACTGCAGGACCTTCATTTCCTGGAAAAGATTTGCTTAACCAAATTAGGATCGGAATTATTTTTTTAAAGTGCCAGACAGAAAGGACCCACAGGGTTAGAAACTTTTGGGGAAGAGTTTGGTTCCTTAGAGAAGGATGCAAAGGAACATTCCCAACAATCTAAGCCACCTGGAGAAATCCACAGGTTCCTTTTTGATACTTAAGATATTGTGTTCATCATCTGAAATTAATCTTTAAGTTTGAGAGGGAGTCGATCAGGAAGGCCAGCAAGGTGGAATGTCTACCTCCTCGTGATTCTTCTTGAGGTAAGCCAGCTCCTCGCTCAGAGTTTCCACCTGAATCTCCAGGTCGGTTCTGCACAAGGTCAGCTCATCCAGGACTCTGCGTAGACCATTGATGTCCGCCTCCACGCTCTGGTGCAGGGCCAGTTCATTCTCATACCTTAGGGAGGGATTTGAAAGTTTCTTCATTTGTCATTAGACACAAGTTGTATCACTTTTCAGATCATCATAAGATGCAAGCTTTGAGGTAAAACTATTAAAATAATACTTAAAACTCTGGTTAGGCCACCCCAGGTGCAATATAGATACTTTGAAGCAAGAGAATGAGAAGTCCCCAAATTCTCTCAGATGACCTTGATATCCATTCGCATTAGCCCCCAGATTTCCCAAGTAAAACGTTACTCAGCTAGTTACTCATTCTATTATGCATTTGATTTAAATAACAATAAGCAAAAGACAAAGAATTGAGCCAACTTCAAATAGTCTAAATAAAAGAGAGAAATGCTTAGATCACTTTCCCCTCGATTTTCTTCAGCTCTACTTACTTTAGTCTGAAGTCATCAGCCGTTAGTCTTGCATTATCATTTTGCAGGGCGACACTAGCATTACTTGTAGCTGCAGAAATTATCTGATAAATGGAGAGTTGGTTAAGAGTGAGAAAATGTCTTTTTAAAAAGTTTTCAAATGTCCTTGAAATAAAGTGACCTATGAAATTTTAATAATGTCTAATTTTCAAATTTCCCTGAAATAAAGTGACCTACGAAGTAATAGCAGTACTTCTTATGTTTGTCTCTAATAATGATTCTTTTGAAAGTGGAACATCCAAGTATGGCCTCTTTTATTACCCCTCAGGCCATTAAAAAAGAAAAACTCTTTCTATGGAAAAGCTTATAAATGTATAGCTGTAGACATTGGGCAGTTTTAAATATTTTAGCATACATGCATACCTAATACTCCATAATGGATGGGCCATGTTCAAAGATTAGAATTTTAATATAGATTATTTTTAATATTCATAGCAAGTTATCAAAACTTAGAAGCCGAGGGCAAAGCCCTGTTGTAATAGCTTGCACACCTGGGCATATGTGAGTGGCTAACTAGTCTCTTGAATGTTGGCGCCCATGACATTGCATTTCTTACCTGGTTTTTAAGGTCATCAATTATTGGGAAGTATCTGCTGTAATCATGATCAAGACCTCGGCAAGAACCAGGCCCAAATTTCTCATACCACCCCTTGATCTTCTGTTCCAAGTCGGCGTTGGCCTCCTCTAGGGCTCGAACATTCTCCAGGTAGGAGGCCAAGCGGTCGTTGAGGTTCTGCATGGTCACCTTCTCATTGCCGGAGAGGAGGCCATGCTCATTCCCGGTGAAGGCTGCACAAGAAGCACTTCCCCCGCTCAGCCCTGCCCCAAAACCTCCGGTGGACGAGCTGCCCCCAAAGGTGCAAGAGAAGCCACTTCCAATGCCTGGCCCACCGCACGTGTTTCCAGCCCCAAAGCCTGCTCCCCCAGTAGAAAGCCTCACAGAGCCTGCTCCCCCACAGGAGCCAAGCCGTCTGGATGCGGAAGAAAAGCGCACAGACATGGTGTTCAGACTGAGCGTTTGTTCCAGGATGAGGCTCTAGTGGCGAATGTCCTTCTCAGACACTTTGGCCTGCCTTTATATACACACTATTAGGGTGCTTCTTGATGAACTTTGCTACTCATAGCAAAATGGTGTGTGCCAGCTCATTGTGAATTATCCCTAATTGAGTGATTTTTTTTTTAGTTAATGAATGTCTTTACCCTACTGTGTCCATTTCTGTAGGTGGATGGTTACCTTGGGGTTATTTGTTATCTCTGGAATTGGACAGGGTGGAGTATTATCAAGATGATTATAGTGGTACATTTCAAATTTTGTATGAGTAACCCTTCCTGTCTTCCAGGCTTCAGGAATATACAATTCCTGTAAGAACAGAAAGGTGTGATAGGCAAAGTTCTTTTTCCCTTGCCCAAATCATCAGCATTGTGTTTTCTCCAGCAAGTGAAGCATCATAGTCATAATTTCCTATCAGGTATGTGGAAAATAATTTCAAGACAATGAGTCCATGATACCAAAGGAAGGAGACAAGTTCCTAAAGGAAAATTGAGGGATTAAATGGAATTTTCTTTGGAGACAGAAAGTCTTCCTTTGATTCTTGTCCTTCCTGAATGACCATTTCCGCTGTAGTGGTCTTCTGTCTAAGCTCTTGCTAACCAGGTTAAGGGAATTGGTTAGCCTCCCTGGGCCCCAGTTTCCTCATCTGTAAAACAAAGGGACTAAATTATAGCCTCTATGTTGCCTTTCTAGCTCTAGATTTCTCTTATTTCTGCGCGCCTTCTTTTCACTATTTCTAGACTACTTTCCTGCACTTATTTCCTCCACTTTTCACCTCTTATTTACCTCTAAATTTTGGTTCTACGGTTTTACTGAAAATAATCTCTGAAAGGTCACCAGTCACTGTACCTCTAATCCAATCATTATTTCTTTTCATTATTTTCTTATACCTTCTTGTTTATGTTCAGTACTGACAACCTCAGTCCAACTGAGTTCCCGACTGTTGCTTTCTGAGACTCTTTTTGCATCTCCGGTTGCTCCCCTTTTCTGTTCCATTCATAGTTTCTGTGCTCTGCATTTCATCATTTCTTACAGTTTTCTGGTTGGCATTAAGACTCTTCTTAATGTAGGTTTTGCCTTGTTGATGTGCCCATTTTTCTATCTCCTCTCTCCCATCTCTCTGCCTTTGTTCATGTTGTCCCTTCTAACTGCTTTGTTTTCTTCTTAAAATTAAAAATTATAAAGAATCATTGGAGATCTTGCATTTGCAAAGAACGATTGACATCACTTTCAATTATACAGATTGAAAATGAAGTTGGTAAAAATATAAATTTTCATAACCTAATAAATGAATTTGCAGAAAAGAAAGCCAGAAAGATTTGTCCATCAATCAATAAATTACATTACTAAAATATCATGACTTGTATTACATAAAATTATGTCACAAAATTTGTTTTTGCTACTTTAGTTTATAGTGTTATACATGTCTCATTACTACCTCTATTGAATGTTATAAGTAATTTTTTTTTTAAATTGTATTTTAGCATTTCTAGCTGAACTTTTCTGACTTTTCAACAAGAAGTCCCATATTTTCATTTTGCACTGGGACCCACAAATTGTATAGCCAGGCCTGCTTGTTGGATCTTTTTCTGGGGAAGCTGAAGTGTCCTAGAGAAAAGGTCTCCAGATACAAACATTTGAATGTTCCCCACAAAAAAGGAAGCTCACCACACAACCACCCTGGAGTACAGCACAGACACTTACACTTAAATATTCTCCAAATATTTAAGACCTTAGTCTTGAAAATGAACAGAATTTCAAAGATCATCATACACTGGAAGACATTCCAATGTGAAAGACAGAAATTCAAATAAACAAGCAAAATAGCACTCAGGGGAGATAGAGATAATTTTAAAAGCTGAAGAAAACTTTAAAAAAAGAAACTACCTATAATTATTACCCTTATAAATAGCAACAATAATGTATATTGAAAAAATGAATATCATTAAAGCTGAACAGTAAGCACAAAAAGATCTCTTAGAATTAAAAATTGGCCGGGTGCGGTGGCTCATGCCTGTAATCCCAGCAATTTGAGAGGCAGAGGCAAGAGGATTGCCTGAACTCAGGGGTTCGAGGCCAGTCTGAGCAACATGGCGAGACCTTGTCTCTAAAAAAGAAAAAAAAAAGAATTAAAAATTATCTTCCAAAATAAAACTTGAAAATATAAATTGAAAAATAAACTTTAACAAATCCCCTAAAAAGTAAAAGATGGATATGTGAACCTTGGAAGAGCCAATCTCTCAAGATGAACCTTGAGTGGCTGCTGACAGCCTAAATTCAAATTAGAAACAAGTGGCCTTCCTGACTAGAGGTCACAAACTCGCTCTGAGTTCTGGGAAAACCTCACACATCTGCCTAATCTGGGGACTTTCCTAGCTGCCTGTTAGCATTTATGCCACCAGAGTTAACCAAAAGGCTGTGGCCCATATCCCAATCAAAATTTAGCAAGCATCAACCAATTAGAGCTCAGCAAACATCTACCAACCAGAACTAAGCAAGTTGGAATCTTTTATTTGCAAATGCAGACCTGAGTGGGAACCTGGGTGGGAACTTTCTTTATAAAAGGTAAACCCTCCCTTTGTTTTCTAGAAGCACCTTCATTTTACAACAAAGGCTGCATCTTGGGTTTGACAACTGTTGTCTGGAATAACGTCTCTATTCTCAAAATTCCCTTTTGTTCACAGATAAAAGAAGAAATTAGAAAGAGTCTTGTTCCAAGAAGAACAACATTGAGTAGTTTTTTGGAATGAGAGAAGGGAGAAACGATGAAGATATTTTATTGGGTTGATGCATAAGTCCTTAGTGTTTGTTTGGCAACACTGCAGTGTTGGGAGTTTGTTTATCATTTGTCATTTGGAGTGACAGTTGCGCTTGTGAATACGCCTTACATTTTGCAAATTTGAAGAAAATTAGTGCTATTTGTGGGCAAAAGAAGATGAAGTGTCAAGTGGGAAAAAAATGAACCCTTGAGACATACTCCTCTGTTTGAATTTAGCAGAGGAGTAAAGGCAGAAGAGGCAGCTTGAAACATCTGTGTTGTGGACGGGGAGAACACCATCAGGGAAAGCATGGCAAGAAAACGGTTTTGTCGTTTCAAAGAGGGCCAGTTTTACCTGAGTGATTCTGCATGTTCAGAATTACTGAAGACCATCAAGTTTTGATGAAGATCGTTTAAACGCTTCAATCCATGATTATCTACATAAGTCAGTCTGAGAATTGGCAAATGTGATGATCTGGTGACCTGTCAACCAGTGTGTGATATTTGCATTCCATGGCAAGCAAAAAATGCTATGAACATGTGCATTAACTCAATATGGACATATTCTAAAATGCTACTCGGAACTTAAGGACTGAACTTCTAAATTCAAAGTGCATTAACTTAATATAGACATATTCTAAAATGCTACTCGGAACTTAAGGACTGAACTTCGAAATTCAAAGAGACCACCAAGAACTGTGAACAGTAAACAAAAGACAACCACAGTGAAGCACTTAACAGGATCTTTCAGAGAACTATGGAGAAAATGAGAACATTTACAATATCAGGAGAAACCCCCCCCATATCCAATGATAGGGAAGCTGTGATACCAGTGAGGAATGCTTTCAGAATTCTAATAAAAAATGGTGTCTAATCTAAAATTCTGTCCTTTAACAATCACAAATGAAGGTAGAATAAAAATGTTTTCAGACATGAAATTTCTCAAAAAATTTACCTCCCTTGCACACCTTGTCAGAAAGTCACTAGAGAGAAAAACAAACTTGAAAAAGGAAAGCTTAGGATCCAGGAAACAGGGTCCCAACACGACTGCATTGAATGAACGTCCCTAGATGACAGCTAGGTAGCATGTTTTAAAAAAAAAACAGCTCATGTTGAATAAGAGGATGGGGGATTCTGAAAGTGAGGTTTTCAGGGGATAGATAGAAATGATTGTCTGATAGTTTCAACTGTGTAAGAAAGAGTCATGAGAGATTAAGATACATGGAAAACCAGGTAAATAAAAAGAAAAATACTGCTTGCATAAGGAACAAAAGGTGTATAATGAAATATAATTAGAGTATACCACTTGACCCGGCAATGAACAATATTTGCTTAGTCATTCATATTGATGAAAATACTGAGCATTGATTTAACTAAATATTATGGCATAGCTATATTAGGAAGAAAGGGAGAGCCGGTAAAAGACAAATTCTCAACTTCCTTTTAAGAGGACGATCTATAATGTCTAAAATGGATACATCAAGAAATAAATAAAACATGTTATTTACAAATATAAAGAGTACAATAAATAGCTAAGAGACTATTTCTGCTGCTGTAGGAAGCAGAACTTGAGGCAGAAGCAGAGAGTAACAGATGACTGTTTTATGTTTTGACTTTGGTGATATCAGACTTTTAAAGCAAAGTACATGCATGACGTTAACAAAAAGGAAGACTTTATTTAAAAATGACCAAGAAAAAGTTCCAAATGTACATCAGAGCTTTCATTGCAAAATTTACAAATAAAGCTGATATAAGATCCAACTTAAAAAACAGACACTCAGGAAAAACAAAACAATCCTACGTCTACCAGTTAAACGAGAATAGATACCTTGAAATGTCCTTCTACCACAAAATGTCCTAACGCTCAATAAATTAAAGTACCTGTCCTTTAAAATTCATGGATAAGCTCAAAAGGAAATGAGGTCATTGTAAAAATAAACAAAAACCAAAAAGCTGAAATACATGTGGTGAGCAAACAGAGACACCTGAACTCTCCTAGATATATGGTCAAACCAGAAACGGATTTTCAGTAGGATTTGAAGTATCAAAGCTGAACTTGAGGTTCTGCTTAAAACTACATACCCCCAAAGCCTTTATCTTTAGTAGAAAAGATGAATTTAGAAAAATCTGCATGCTGGCAAAGTGAACAAGCCAGAAGATCATTGTGTTGTTGTTGGTACTGGGTAAACGATTTTACAAATTCGATAATATTAGTATTCCTG